CACACACACATACATACACACACACACACACACACACACACACACTGTATATACACTGCTCAAAAAAATAAAGGGAACACAAAAATAAGACATCTTAGATCTGAATGAACAAAATATTCTTATTAAATACTTTGTTCATTACATAGTTGAATGTGCTGACAACAAAATCACACAAAAATTATCAATGGAAATCAAATTTAGCAACCCATGGAGGTCTGGATTTGGAGTTACACTCAAAATTAAAGTGACAAAAAACACTACAGGCTGATCCAACTTTGATGTAATGTCCTTAAAACAAGTCAAAATGAGGCTCAGTAGTGTGTGTGGCCTCCACGTGCCTGTATGACCTCCCTACAACACCTGGGCATGCTCCTGATGAGGTGGCGGATGGTCTCCTGAGAGATCTCCTCCCACACCTGGACTAAAGCATCCCCCAACTCCTGGACAGTGTGGTGCAATGTAGAGTTGGTGGATGGAACAAGACATGATGTCCCAGATGTGCTCAATTGGATTCAGGTCTGGGGAACGGGCGGGCCAGTCCATAGCATCAATGCCTTCGTCTTACAGGAACTGCTGACACACTCCAGCCACATGAGGTCTAGCATTGTCATGCATTAGGAGGAACCCAGGGCCAACTGCACCAGCATATGGTCTCACAAGGGGTCTTTCACAAAGCCAAAATCTGTGAATTCATGCATCATAACTATAACAAGAATTATACTACTGTTTCTTGTATTTTATATTGAATTAAGAATCACCTCAGAGCACCTGATTAATGAAGTCTGTTTTGTTTAATTATTCACAGGACAATTATGCATTTTTATATTTTAACAAGATGTTAAAACATTCAATATATGTTTTAAACAAGTGTCTAGATTCGGACACGCATGGTGGTTTCATTTTATTGCTATTCATTTTGCTTATCTTTGTAATTCAGGAGGTGCCAGATCCAGTCAAATATTTCATTACAAGATGGAGCAAAGATCCTTGGATCCAAATGGCATATAGTTTTGTAAAGACAGGGGGCAGCGGTGAAGCATATGATATACTTGCTGAAGACATACAGGGAAAAATCTTCTTCGCTGGAGAGGTGAAATCTCAATTACATAACATTGTTTAAACAAAATACAGACTTGTTCGAATCACAACTAAGTTTGAAAAGACTAAAAACGCATTTGCTTTGAATAGGCATTACAGGATGTAGAAGGATTTCTGAAATTATTACAGGTAGTCCTTGAACAATTGGGACTGGAATTACTGTTGCTAAGCAATGCAGTCATAAAAGTGCAGTGTCTAGAAGAGCCTTTTCTGCTGTAGCCCCAACCCTTTGCAACATCTTGTTCCCTGAGGTGAGATCGCCCCCCCCCCCACCCCGCCCATTCTTCTGGCCTTCCAGAAAGATCTTATATCCTGGCTCTGCTGGTTGACTTGGGGCCCCAGTAGGTATGCTCTAAGCCACATGTTCTTGGTGCAGCAACAAAGATACCACCTCTGCATTGCTTGAGCCCCTGGTTCTTAGTCTGTACTTAACTTTTCTTATTTTAAATTGCTTTTTTATATTTATATTTTTGTTGTACTGTTAAGACCACCTGATAGGCAGCATATAAACGTAATAAATAAATAGTCACGTGACTGCATTGCTTAGTGACAGCAATCTCAGGCAGACCGGTTGCTGTCGTAATCTGAAAATGTAGAAAGAGGTGGGCCATGTGGGTGCGACAGGAGGATTGGGGAGGCTGGGGAGGCCATATGTGAGTCATGGGAGGCCATGGAAAAGCCAGGAGAGGCTACGAAGGGATGGGTGCAGATGCTGCAGGTGGGAGTAGAAACTGGAGTGACTTGTAACCTTCCCTGCCAGCTTCTCCAATTGAGTGACTTTGTGGAAAAGTTGCAAATGTTGATCGTGTGACCATGGCTTTTCTGTAGTATCATGCTTTGAGCTGGGCACCCAAGTGCTTGGACCACAATTGTCTGATCGCAAGGATGCTGAGGTGGCCAGCACCTTGAGAACCAGCGATATGTCCCATTTTTCATTGAATAAATGGTCGTAAGATGATTACCTATAATAGTCTAAGCCAAAGGTCCCCAAACCCTGGCCCATGGACATGCACCAGTCTGTGGGATGCTGGAAACTGGGCCATGCTAACAAGCGATGCCCCACCCACAGATTGCAGGCAGCATGTAAAGCCACACCTCCTCCAGTCCATGGAAAAACCTCCCTCCAGGGAACCGATCCCTGATATCCAAAAGTTTGGGGGCTGCTAGTCTAAACCATGGGTACCAAAGTTATATCCCCCCCCAAAATAAGACCTACCTCAAAAATAAGACCTACCCTGATTTTTAAGCGTGTACCTAATATAAGCCTTACCCCCCAAAATAAGCCCTAGTGAAGGGGGATGGGCATGGACAGCACAGGAGGCAGTGAGGACCCATAGGGGCCGACAGTGTTCAGCAGCGGCAGCCCACACAGCGCAGATGAGTTGAGCAACAAGTGGAGGCAGAGGTGAGAGGAGACACACGATCTGCGTACATGCCACTGGAAGAGTCGTCTTCATGTGGTGGCATCAACAGCAAATGGAGAGGCACAGGGTGGAAGCAGATAATCTGGATGTGCTGTGGGAAAGCCAAGTGTCGTTGGGCCAGAGTTGGCGGCCAGTGCAGGAGGCTCATTGCGTCAGGATTGTTTGCTTTCTACCCTGCACTTCTGCCTCCATCTGCTGTTCGGACAGGGAATCAACTGTGCTGCACGGGCTGCACAGCCAGTGTGCACCAACCAAAGGACCATAGAGGTGCAGCTGCTGCCAGATACCATGAGTGCTCATGCACTTGCTGCCTCTTGAAGCACACAAACCTAGCCGGGCTGATCACCCTGAAAAATGTGTTTCCCCCAAAATAAGCCCTAGTGCTTATTTTGTACCCCCCCCCCCAAAATATAAGGTAGGGTCTTATTTTCGGGGAAACACAGTAGTGCTCCCTCTACTTTCATTTCTTTCAGGGATGAACTTCCTTGTCACCTCCCTTTTTTCAGGAGTTTGAAGGCTTTTTTGATTTTGTTTCGAGATTTTTGTTTATAAAGATTTGCAACACCTTCCACAGCATGTTGGTAGTTTCCCCCCACCCAATTGTTTAGTTGCAATATTGTAGATCTATTTTTATAGCTTGCTGCTTGATTTCTGCTTTGATAAGGAAGTTACATAAATTTCTATAAAATATCTCTAATTGTAGATTGAGTCTTTTGTAAGGAAAACTTTTTCTTTGCGGGATTCTATATCCTGTATTTTAAGAATTCTGTTAATTGTATTTCTCTCAAAATATATAATCTGAAACTTTTTTTTTAAACAGGCCACAAACCGGCACTTCCCACAGACAGTTACAGGAGCCTACTTGAGTGGTGTTCGAGAAGCAAGCAAAATATCAGCGTTTTGAATACTAAAGTTTACATTTTAAAACAAATCCAAATCCACATGGTGCTCAAATTTGTGAAGACAAAAGTGATTTCATTGTTTATGCCTTGAAGATGCACTTCACACACATCATCCCTTATTTTTTCACTAGGAAGTCTGTATTATGAAAGATGGAATTGTAATGAACCTTAAATAATAGTAGATGGACTGTCAAATAGCTCATAAGTAGTTGGATATTTCTTCAAAAGAATAGTAGGTTTCTCTAATCATGTATAGGGTGAGGAAAAATGTCTAAGAACTGATTAGAAATACAAACATGGGGGCCTTTGGTACTATTCAGTTCTATAGTATGCATAAACAATCAACTTTCATTATTGACCTGCAAAAAATAACATAAAAAGTACTGTATGAAGCTAGTATTTGTTCATGTAAATGGCCTAATAAAAATATTATATGGACATTTCCTTTCTGTGCACTTAGTTTTAATAATCAAAACTTTAATTAAAGAAATATAATAGAAATAGGCAACCCTGAAAAATAAGTTTGGCTTAAAATTGGGGTTGGTTTGTTTTTGAAAAGTTAAATGATATGACATCATCCAGAAGCAAATTTAAGATGACATAATAACGTGTTGTACAGTGACAATTTCAGTATGTCAGCATCAGCACCTTTTCTTTATTTTTCAAAAACATTGCTTAGATGTATTTTAAAACCGTTTGCTACAAACATGCAATATGCAATATTTTCTAAATATATAATGGAACGGCTTGTCTCCTGGAATTTTGAGTGCTCTATCGCTGGAGAATTTTCAAGAAAAATTGCACAACAATTTGTCCAAGATGGTATTACGACTCCTGCCTTGGGCAGGGGGCTTGTCTAGAAGACCTCCAGGGTCCCATCCAGTCTTGTGATTCTATGAAGACATGAAGAGTACTCTGATTTACACAGTACAGACTGGAAAAGAATTACTGTTTTAAAATAGACAAGTTTTAATATTGTAAATATTGCTAAATTAAATGGACTATAATAATGAAATCGTATATAAAGAAAAAACAAAATAAATATGATTTCTGGAAATTTTCTCTGATCTAAAATGCTCAAAGTATGTGAATATTTATCTAAAGCAGTTTAGCTATGTTTTTTTTACCTAAACTTATTTTCTTACTTATTGATACTTATTAATCCTTTTATGTGAAGTTTTTAACAAATAACAAATGTACTAGCAAATAAAGGAAACACATCTTAAACCCAAATGATATAATGTGGAATATTTACATAGTGAGGAATAGGCGTCTGTAGGTACTTTATTGTCATTAATGTGGAACTCCTGCTTTAAATATTGAATCACTGTATAAATTGTTGGTACAAGGAAAGATCAGATATATTTTTCACATTTATTTAAATGAGCTAAAATATCCAGGAAAAAATCCCAATTTTTTTTTGAAACTTGCTCATTTATTTACATATACCAACTTATGTCTTGTAAAACATTTTGAAGCATTTACTACTGATCGTAAGTAAAGTGACTTAATAGCAATATAGTAACTGAAAAAAAAATGCTCATCTATGTTAACAGGTATAGTTTCGAATTACAACAATTGAACCCCAAAAGACATTTGTTAAGTGAGTTTTGCCCCATTTTACTACTTTTCTTGCCACAGCGAAGTGAATCCCTGCAGTTAATTTAATGTTAAGTGAATCTGGCTTCCCCACTGACTTTGCTTGGTAGGTTACAAAAAGTGATCACATGACCCCAGGGCATTCAACTCTCATAAATACATACCGCTTGCCAAGTATCTTGAGTTTTCATCACATGATTGTGATGCTGCAGTGGTCATGTGTGAAAAGAGTCATAAGTCACTTTTTTCAGTCCTATTGTAATTGAACGGTCACCAAACAAATGGTTGTAATGGTTGTATTCAGTGTCTGCATATAATATGTGACTTTGTACCTGTTCTCTGCTTGTTGTTTGGAAAATAGAAACAGTATAAGAAGTCAACCAGCTTCTTAGATATCTAAAGAAAACCTGGCATTAATTCATAAAAATAGAAGACTAAAGACTAGAGAGGGACTAGAAAACAGTTGGATATAGTAGTACTTGAGCATACTGGTGTAACCATGTAAGGTAGCTTTCATTTTTTTTTGTTTAAGTATAATTTGCCTGTAGCTCCAAACTGAACATTTATCATTGTTTGCTGACCAAACAGTCAAATGAATGAAATATGATTTTTGTTTCTCTTAGAATGACATACTTAAAAGCCAAGATTATAAATCAACTTGAAGTCCTGATTTTAATTAATCCTATAACTTGCTTAAACAATTATACATTATAACTATTAAAGTAAAGGATATAATTGAGAAATAGGGTAAGAGTCTAATGATTTCCTATGATAGCTCACAGTTCCTTAGAAATATTTGGATAATTAATCATTAATATTCTTTTTTATTCTTTAGAATAATTGTTGCTTAGGGAAATGTATACTCATTGTCTACACAAAAATAAAGTTCTTAAAAATTTTCTTCATTTAGCATGAACAAGGAATATTTTGTCTAGATGACACACACAGGCACTTTTGATTCTGTATCAAGTTTACTGTACATGTATTAAAATATCAGCGTACATTTTCCTTAAAGACATTTATTGAATAAAAAACGTACATTCAGCTTAGTAAAAATGATTGCGTGCAAAGAAAGTGATAAAAATGATATAAGTTGATCAGTTAACAATATTTTGGAATATAGATCAATGATTCCATAACTACATATTAATACATTATTTAAAACCTGCAATTATTTTAATCAATACAGTCTTGGAGAAGTTAATTATACTTGACTTCACTTTATGACACATTTATTTGGCATTTGCTGGAAATTTTAACACATGATGATCTGATCCCTTAAAGGATTTTTGTGAACAGGTACTTCATTCTGGAATTGAATAAAAATTTCATGAATAATTATTTGCAGAACTGAGATTTTATTTTAGAGTATTTAAGCAGGAGTCACCTAAGATTAATGCATTTAAGTATATATTCTTCCAATTATAGATTCTGAGAATCTAAAACAAGGGTACAGTTTTGCAAGAATACTACATTGTTCAGGCGACACCAGATAAATGGTCAATACTAACCACCTTGGAAAAAACATTTTAGAAATCAAAATTGTATTTATTTTTTATGAATTAACAATATAGGATATCACATTAAGCCTTCAGAGCTATAATTCTCTGCACTCAGTTAAAGAAAAATTAAATTTCTCTGCACTCAAAGACTGAGTGCAATCAAGACATTCCTTACAAAAATCAAATGTGCTATCTTTTGTATGTATACTTACTTCCTACTTAATCACAACATGATTCATAAACACTGATACTGGTCATAAATCTAAAACACGTTTTTTTTTCTTAACCTGGTTTTAAGCAAATCTGAAATAAGCTTATATACAAAAGCCTTTAAAAGTACAAAAATAATATCTATTCGTGATTGATCATGCTTTATTACTTTCAGTTGTATACACATGCAAGATAGTAAAACATAACAGCAGTCCTAGTCAGGGCATGTGACTAGCTCCTGGTAGAAAATGGGTGTATTCAAAATAAATGTAATGCCCAATACTGCAGTATTTAACAGTCTCTGCATGTGTATCTACTAATACAACAGCTTTCATATTGTTCTTTTTAAAAAATCTCTACATTACAAACACTAAAACCTACAATAGCTATATGACTATTTTTACAAAGAAATATAATGTACAAAGGAAAAGTAGGGAACATGTATTACCATGCAAAATTAGGAATTATATTAAACTCAATTTTGAAAAAGTTGGTAATTCCCATTAACATTCAGAACATTAAGCCAATAGTCATCTCCAACTAATACTACGTTATACCAAGAGTAAAACAAAAATAATAAAGTTTACAATTTGCTGGTTTTTGTAAAATATTTAAATCCAGGAAAACAAGTCCGTAGCCTTCATTTTCTTCCCATTAGATCATGAAATGAGCTACAAAGAAAAGAAAATATTTCATCTTCTATGTAAATCCACCTTTCCATGAACACTTTGCTCAGGCTGCAATCTTAACATCTTTAGAGAAAGTTCAAAAAAATCAACAGGATTTTCAATTAACATTAACATTTTTGCTATGTTATTATACATTTATAGCATAGGATTAAGAAATGATTAAACAAACATTAAAATAAAATTAGCAGATGCAATTAAGCATAGAGTTGAATAAAATTTGGGCCTGGTTTTGAGAACTGAGTTAAGTTTATTATTCCGTATTTAAGATTTCTAAAATTTAAATATATTTATTTACCAAACCCATCTCAGCGAAGCAAGGCATATATTATAATTGAAATCTAAAATATGATATCTCATTGATCAAGTATTTACCTCTTTCACTGCCTTTTTGATGAATTCTTTTCTGTCAGATAAGTCATAACTGGGATAGCGTTTATATACCTGCAATGATCAATTTAAAACAAGTTTAATCAGATGAAATCAGGGCTGGGATCCTACCAGCATTACAACCGGTTCGGTGAGCGTGCGTTTTGCAAAAACTACACAAATACTGTATATGGATTTTTATTGGCAGCCCTGAAATTTAAATTTACACAGTAAATAGTATACAAAATAAATGGCAAATATATACCTCTTTACAAATTTGTTTCATGGTAACTTCCTCCAAATTTGCATCAGCAAGTAGTTTTTTCACAGTTTCTTTCAATTCTTCATCTGTGGGAGGCTTTTTCAATTTTTTAATTAAAGGCTCATCATCTGAACTATTCTCAGATTCACTTTCTAAATGAAAAATATTTTGTTAAAATGCAGATAACTGGTTTTTCCTTCCACCAGTCAAATTTAACTTTGAATAAAATTGCAAATTAGTTTATACTAAAGAAAGCTTTAAAAACTGGGATTTTTCAGAGAAAGATTCAGGTAGTAAAAGGGTATCTTTTAGATCTGAGTACCCCAACCTTTCTGGTTTTGTGGACCGGCCAGAGGAAGGGGATGGTGCCATGCAAGTGGCAGGCAAACACATGACACAAGCAGCTCCATTTGGAATGCCTGCGCTTGCCCGATGCTCATGTAAGGGGCGCACACACTTGCCTGCCGCTTCTGTGGCTCAGCGGTTGGTGACCCGTTTTAGATTTTTTTTTTTCACCTGTTTTTATAACCTCCAACTTTACTATTTCTTATCCCAGTCATCTCTGGGTTTTTTCACTCAGGATAGATGAGAAAGGATAATCAAGATAATATTTGATTTCTAATATGGTTGATTTTGCTATTAAAAAAAGAATTCCTCTTAACCTGACAGAACATAGGAACAAATTATTTTTGTATAAAATATGAAATTAAAAAGTGCCCTAGATTCCATGCAATAGCTCCAAACCATGTGACTGAAGTTGTTTAATAGAAACTGAGTTCAGTATTTCCAACTGGTCTGCCAGGACATTTCATGCCAGAGCCAAAGTGAACATTAAAAGCCATGACACAGTACAAAATATTTTGAGACATTAAGGATACCTGGTTCCTCAAAAAACATACACAACTTAGTTTTTTGACAGCTTATATATAACTGAGATTTGTTGAGTGGTGAACTTACCTTTTTTGGAAGAGTTCTGACTCTTCTTGGTTGTACTGCTATCTGCTTTCTTGACATTAGCGCTTCTTGAACCCTTTTTGCTTTTTGAAGCTACTTTTTGTTTGGGTTTTTCTTTCTTTATTGATTTTTTAGGTGGCTGTGAGTTAGGTAAAAAACACAGTAAAATCTATTTCAATATCAATTTTAAACATACTGAACTAATGCAAATTTAATGCTAAAGAAATAAAATAAAAATGTAACTCATTTAAACAGTTTTGTATGCTTTATCTGTCCCAAATATCAGTGGGTTGTTAGAACAGGTGTTTCTATTTTTTTTTTTCAGTATGCAAAAATATACATTATAGAACAAATAGAGTTGTGTCTAGAAAACTGATAAGTAGATAATTTTAAAATAACAATGTTTATAAACTGCAGTTTATAACTGCCATTATTCAGCCAATTCTTTTACGAATAATTTATAACATTAATATATCTTAAAAGCGATAAATTTAAGGAATTTTGGGACTATCTGTAACTATCTGATCCCATGCTGTTGCCATTTAAATCAAATTATTGACGAGAGTATAATTCTTTAGCACATATTATTTGTACTGAAGTTCTTACCTCTTCTTCACTTTCTTTATCTTCCTCAGATGATTCATCTTTCCCTTTCTTTTCATTGTCCTCACTGCTAGATTCATCTGTCAAGATTTCAGGACATTTGGTGCGTTTGGCTTTCCGTGCTGTTCCAGAGCTACTACGCTCTTTTTTACCACCCTTGTTGGGAGTTTTCTTGGATTTTGGCAATGGCTATTAGATATTAGAAATGAATAAAAAAAACAATCAAATAGTTTTATAATGTATACATACCATAGGAAATGCTGTAACTTAACTAACTTTGATGATCCTTCTTATTTTATAAATTTGTTGGGAAAATAGTTTCATAGGATAAGTTTACTTTAAGTGAATCAACATTTTTTGACTTTTATAAATTGTTTTTTGCTAATTTTAGTTTTCAATATATATTATGTATTTTGTTTTCATTTTTTAAATTCTCAACTTATTTTTATTTTTGTGCATTAGACTCCTAATTCTTTTTCAATGGAAAGTCATGATACGGATTAGATGAGTAAACACATGCATTTTTAAAAAAGAAATAAAACTGAGTAAGAATTTAGTCCCCATTCAGATTAAATATTAAATGTTACATATCTGTGACCTTTTTGATACATTTTTCAGAGGTGCTCCGTAAGTGGGCAGTAACTCCCAGAAAGTCGGTCCCACAGAATTCAGCAGAAAATTCTTGAAAGCAGAGTTTAAAGATTTTTATTCCCTGATTGAAGAGGATTATTTATTTACAATTTATATTTAGTCCTCAGTCTAATGGACTCTGCTGATCTCAGATACTTTATATTATTTATAGAGATTAGGGAAGATTGAAGAGGTAAGGAGAATACAGGTTTATAAAATTTAAATGTTATTACTGAATAAATCTTTAAAAACTCTTAACGAACTGTGGTTTTGTTCTCATTGGCTACTTTAATTTGCATCTATTTTCTGTTTTTTAAAAAGGGAAAAATAAAGAAATAATCTAATAGTTTGAAAATAATAATGGCTTAATTTTCAAGGCATGTTAGTAGAACCCAAAGAGCTTCACATGCTCTCAATATTTATATGACTTCCCACTCACCACAACTACTGTAACTTATCAGTTTGTTGCACTTGCTTTCAGAAAATATGATCCTACAAATATATCTAAAATGAACAGTAATTAAAATGGTTTCAAATCATATACTTCTATTGTTAATGGAATCATGAAGATACAATCAACCCATTCAAATAAGCATTTGTAGATGCAAGGCAACTCTTGAAAGCAACGATTTTTAATAACCTTACCGAGGCTAAAAGGGCATTTGATTTGTTGTTGAGAGTTACTATAGGTAAACTTTAATTTCAATATCTCAAATATCTCACCTGTATAACTGTGTCCTAAGCCATGGCACATGAGTATGCATGAAATAAGTAAAGCATTAGTGTAATTTTGTGCTTACAGCAAGGCTCAGGAGGAACAGCTGTAAAAAAATTAGGCACAACATCCTTAGGGCATCCATCAGAACCCTGACATCTTTTTTGTTATAGGGAACAATGTTAATATATTCAAATTATGTCCTAAACTAAACCCCATTTTTTTTAGATTAAAACAACGACCTAAGCATAGCTCTCACCTTGCCTGAAGGTTTTGGATGCATTAGAAAATTTAAGATTCTTGCTACCAGTTCACTGTTAACTCCTGATCTTTCCAAATCAAGAACTTCACATATGCTTTTTAGCATTGCATTTCTGTATCTGCAGAGAAATACTGATTTATAAGTATTT